ACCACCATCAGCAGAAGGCACCAAAGCGTGATTCCACAGGAGATAACAAGCATGAATGGGGTAGAAGGCTCAAAATGAGTCATTCTCATTGGAAAACCCAAAAATCTAACTTAATCAACAACTATAAAGGTCCTACTATGTGCTAGGCCCATTTATGAACTTATCTTTGTATCCCTACCATCTAGTATTGTATCAAGCCCAGAGTTACAATAGCAAATGAATATACTAATTATACAATAGAGAATACTTTAAAAAAATAAAGACATCAAAGAACATTCTACTCAATTGTGTCATCTAAATAAAGCATAGAAGGCTTCATAGCTGTTGATATCACCTGGAATCTACTGATTTTATTTATTTAAATGACTATTATAGCCAGGAGATATATTTACAGAGAAACTTACCATTGCATCAATTCACATGAGCATTAGAATTGTTACTTATTTTAGTAGGAGAAAAAAGAGAAAATTAAGTAGTTTTTGAAGAAGGGCATTTTCATGCTAATTACATATATCAGCTAGCCACACTGCATTTGACATACAAAGTATTAATAATTTTGCCTAATTCAAAGGGCTCTATAGCTTTATAAATTCTACTAATCACAATTCTACTCTGTCTTAGGCTTCTGCTTTCATTGTGCCACCGGATATACAGTGATGGCATTTTTGTTCAATGCATACAGTCACGTGTTGATATGGGACTCTGGAAGAACATTTTACGTTTAATACCCTGAGCCATTTGCCACAGGAGATCAGAGATTATGCTGGGATGTTCCTATAGGAAGTTTTGATACTAAAAGCCTTTGACTAAAGATGTGAGGCTAATGGAAGAGACCAGCAACTGAGTGGGAAGACAGACTGATCACCCTTCTAACAAGAATGGGGGCACACGGGACACAGGCAGTGGAGTGCTGGAGTTCCACCCGTGGCCACTGAGCATTCAGGCTCTCTGGAAGTGACTGATACACAAATCAAATTGCTGAAAGAGCTCACCCAAGCTGGCAAGGGTGAGCTCTTTCGTCCTAAGTGTTCATCCTGATGGATTGCAAGTGGCTTCATGGGTAACTGATCCCGGGTCTAGGCAAAAGGAATGAGGGACTGAACTAGGGAAACAGAAGTCTTAAGTGTAAAGGAGAGAAATTATAGCAGAATAACCAAGGGACTGTGATGAGGTTAATTTCATGAAGAAAAACAGAGAGGCAAATGCAATGCACGCCACCTTCTGTCAGAACAGATCCATTTCTACGCCCTACCCCCTGTGCTGGGATGCTGACTTTAGTGGTCTACAGGGAGCTCCCTTGCTCCCTGGCGTCCCGCTGGGTTTCGTCCACAGCAGCCTGGCCAGGGCATCAGCAGAACGGAGATCAGAGTATTGATTCCCTTAGCTGTCCAGGCGAGGCTGCCTGAGGCTGGCTAAATCTCTCTCCCAAGGTCACAGTGCCTCTCTAGACAGCTCTCTCCGCCCTCCTCTCTTCTCCCAGGTTCTAGCAACCATGTCCTTTCCACATCCTTTGGGCCAAGGATAGTAACGACGTCACTGCTGCTAGCACTGGACGCTACCCTTTTCCGGTGGTTTTCCTAACCCTAACCTGAACTTTGTGAGCAGTGCTCTTATTAAACCCCTCAAATTTTCATAATCTGAATGCATCATTTGCTTCCTGCTGGGACTCTGACTGATATACCAAATATGATTTTAAGATTTTGAACTTGGGTGGCTGTGAGGACAGGTGGTATTGTTAGCCAAGATAGGGAATACAGGAAGATGAGTAAGTTCAAATGTGGGAAGGAAACCACAGGTCGACTTTGCTGTATGACAACTGTGGATTATCCACAGAGAGAGGTTGGTAGCAGCTACAAAAGTGAACCTGGCATAAAAATGTAGATACTAATTAATTTTTGGAAGTTTGGGAGTCCTGATCACAATCTAAGCACTCGTTTAATACAGAGAATTTATTTAATTTAGGGGCCAAGAAACTCTCTTAAAAATTATAGAACACTAGAGGTTTAAAAGGTCTTAACTGCCATAGCTGAGCTCTTCCTTTATACGTGTGGTACTGACGTCCACGGCTAGTTATCAGACGGTGCGCGTTAGGCAATGGCGGCGCTGGCACCAGCCTCTGCAGCTTCTGGGCTCCTCCATCTGCGCTCTTTCCATAAAATGCAGCATTTATCTCTACTTGACTGGTTTCCATTAGTCAACAAATTTCATGTCTGCATCCAACCTTTTGCTAATTGATAATATGATGAATAAAAGAGAAGTATAACAATCTTCTAGCTGTTTACAGTCTTAATTGACTAACAACTCATACAAATGTTTTGAAATGAGAGTACAAAAGAGAAATGACTCTGCAAGCTGAAGGTGACCAGGGCAGTTTGTAAGGCAAGGGCACTGTCGACTAGTATTAACACGGTGAGATTTTAAAGGTTTCATATTGGTGTGAGTAAGGAAGTAGTCACAGGCTTAATTACTGTCACAATAATCAAGTTACTATTGTCACAACAGTCAAGAACTATCTAGTTTACCATGTTTAAGTATATAAGTTTTAATTGTAGAATATAATATATGAGTAAGAATCTATAAATCTATCTGCTCCTACCTATAAAGACCGCCCTACTAAATAACAGTTTAAGTGAAAACGTATTTTGGCAAATGAGCAAGAAAAAAATGTTCTTATTATTCATGTATGTATGTGTGAATTTATGTATGCACTGCTACTATATAGCTGTACAAGTGAAGTAAGCAAGGGAGAGGAAAGTCTGAAAGCCCACGGAATTAAACTTTGCTCCTTAGAAATCACACAGGTTTTCTCCTTCTTGTTCATTGCATTATTTGGTATATACAATTCTCAGCTATACAGAGAACCTTCTTAACAGGAATTGTAACTACAATGCTATCATTATTCTATTTTCACACACTCATGACTTTCTCAAGAACATTTATCAATCTCTGAGAAACTACCTGCTTGGACTCACATAAAGGCAAATTTCTTTAAGTCTGAAGAGCTATTTTCAATTTGGGAATTATTGCTGGAAGAAAAAGGTGATGTCCACAGAGGCAGTTTAAATGATCTCTATTCATTATTCATCTTAAGGTTAAAATTAGTTTATTTTGCTAGTTACTTTGCCTTATAAGTACTTCACAAAATTTTTACTTTTATACCTGTTATGTCTAAATAAACATCAGGCTTTAGAGTGTGGGTGATGATTCCCAATGAATTAATCCAATGAATTAATAATTAAGAATGAAAAAAACCTCAATAGGGAAAAAGAAATCATCCTAGGAGACCTTTCCTCAGGAATCTATTCTTACAAGAAACTTGCACCATTGAGGAGATGGATCAAGTAAGCATATTCCCAGTGTGTGAAAGTGTCACAAGGTCAAATGTCTTCAGGGACAGGCAGTTCATCTGAATGCGTGGAGTAGCCAAGTCTTAGACAATACCGAGTCGTGAGGATAACTACTACCTGGGAAGTACAGATTCCCCAAGGCCTCATGTGTGAGGACGCATGTGGGTACAAACTGGGGGCTAAACCAAGAGTTGCTGGGGGCTGAATTCTGCCTGTGGACCACCAGTTGGTGATGTCAATTTTAGGCAGACTAAGTTGAATACTTCCTTCCACACTTCACTTTGTGGAAATGTTTCATTCCTTGGGCCAGCTAGCTTGAAACATTTCATTATTGCTTTGATCTGAATATGTGTACCCTGTTGAAATCCGAACCCCCAAAGAAGATAGTATGAGGAAGTGGAGCCTTAGAAGTATGCTTAGGTCATAAGGGTAAAGCCTTAATGAATGAGATTAGTGCTTTTACAAAAGAGACCCCAAAGAGATCCCTAGCCCTTTTACCACATAAGGACACAGCATAAAGGAGATGGTTATGAACCAGGAAGACGGCCCTCACCCAAGCATGATGGCTCCTGATCTTGGATTTCTCAGCCTCCAGACTATGAGAAATAAATTTTCATTGTTTATAAACCTTCCAGTCTATGGTATTCTGTTATAGTGACCAATGACCAAAACCTTCCCTTTATTTTCAATTTTATAAGAAAAATCAGAGTCAAAATATTACCTGGGTGAAAGTAACATATTAATTTTGTTTCACTTCCTAGGAATTGAAAAAAGAAATTTCATTAACTGCCTCTCATCTCATTGTGTTTCATTCCTACACGAACACAAGAGGAATTATTTCATGAAATTCCAGTATTGAGTAGTTCACTGATAAAAATCAGGTATTATCAACATTATTTAAGAATTATTGACATCCCAAACACTGAGAATTGAACTGTGAAACAAAGGATTATCTTACTTTCATTCTTCAGGTATACAAAAAAAAAAAAAGAAAAAAAAAAAAGCCATTAACTAAATGTTGATCTTATCTTGTTGCCTCTCGAGGAATCACAGTTTTGACTTTATGTTCACCCAGGCATATTAATAGGAGACAGGATGTCTGCACAACTCACCCCAATTATCTGTTTTTACATACTCTGACATTCATCATTGTGGGAAGGAAAGTTTGGCTCAGGTAACACTCATATCTTGCATCAGTACTTGTGTAACAAGTTTTATCCCACGGCCCATAATTCAATTACTAAATTACTCACATGGATGGCTGATGAGCAAGAAATTTTATGTCAAAATTCCTGATTAATATGAAATGAGTTTTTGCTTACATAGTCAAATGCTATGGATTTAAAAAGATGTTTTCTTAATGCATACATTTTTATATAGACTATGTCCCACTTTTTCATTTTACTAGTCAAGATTATGACAGAATTTATGACAGAGTTACGTGAACAAAATCCTTGGGAGGTTTTTCAGAGTTGGACTATAATTATTTAAAAAATATGGATGCACAAGGACAAAGACCAAAAAGCAATTTTTTAAATGCCCAAAATTACATCAGAAAGGTTGAATTACAGGTGCCCTTTTCCTTAAATAAAATTGTATTATTGTTGATACAGTGTAAATTCAATGAAAATTATTTAAAGCTCAGATACTTACCATGGTTGGAAAATAACGACTAGTTTTGAATTTTTTCAGAGCCATAGAAGAGGTGTAGGTGCCCAAGAAGAGGATGAAAGACATGAGTGTGATATCGGGAACAAAGTCGCAGTTGTTCCCCACGAGCTTTCCTCCATATTTCAAACACTCCTTCTTCGACAAAAGCGCCCAGTCAAACGTGGCGTTATGGTACTAAAGAAGAAAAACATTAACATTTTTCTAGAGAACACTGATACATCAAAAGCAGCTTTTGATACCTGATGTGCTATATATGGATTACACTAAAAGTTTCTGTAAAGCCGCTGGAAGTTAATCACTGAAGGGTGAATGAAACCTGAAGAGGTGCTAATGGAATAAGTAATAAGGGGGCCCGGGAGGCTAACAATTATTGAAAATACAATGAGGATGATGCAATCTGTTACCTGGTTTGAGCCACAGCCCTACAATCACTCGTTTGTTCAACAGAAACAAACCACAAAGTCCTTTCCTGTCAACTTTCCTGAGTAAACTGAGACACAATAATATCCTAAGTCTCAAAATGTGAGATTCTCTGAAACACCTCTGTTGTTCAAAAGTACTTTTGTAGTGAGCAGCTCCTTATGCTTAAAGCTGATGACCCATGGTTAACACCCTAAAAGTTGTTTTAGGTTAACTACTCACTTACACAGCATTTTCACAGATGAGCTGTTTCTTTTCTAAGTAAGTGGAGCTGGTGATTTAGGGAATTAAACTATAAAATGGTGGTGGTTCCCGCTTTTCCAATGGTATATCCTAATTAAACAGAGCTCTTATCTTGGTGACTACAGCTCTGCATCGTGAGCACTGATCATGGGAACGCGCTGCACCGGGCTGTGGGGTTGTGTACGGGATGTCTGTGCACCCGTCCCTGTGTGACACGGCATCGAGCTCACAGGCTCGCGTCACGAGGTCAGTGCTGCGCTCCTCAGTAGCAGCTCGCTCCTGTTCTTGTTTTCTGCCTCTGCAATGCAGGAGAATCCTTTTGCTAACATTGTGAATAAAGCCAGTGCACCCACCCCCCAGCTACTCTGAGTTTTAGCCGCCATCAGCTCACAGCTGCCTTCTTCAGATTCAACCTCCAAAGAGCTACCTCGCCTGAATTGTTATACCCTCCTGCAGCCAATTACTGACCAACAGTAATGGGGTGCTATTGACTGAATATTTTGGCTCCCCTAAAATTAATGTTGAAGCCTAACTCCCTATGGTATGGTATTTAGACGTGGAACCTTTTGGAGATGATTAGGTCATGAGGGTGGAGCTTCTCATGAATGAGGTTAGAGTCCTTATAAAAGGGACCCCAGAGAGCTCCTTTGCCCCTTCTGTTACATTACTATTTGTGGACATAGTGAAAAGAAGTCAGTCAGATTCACCAGGTACTGAATCTGCCAGTGCCGTGATGCTGGACTTCATCTTGGGTCCAGGGTTAATGGGTATAGCATGTGCTTGCTTACAGAGAAGTGACTTGAGAATACCTTGCAAATAAATGTGGAAAGGTAAATTTCTCCTGGCCTTTGGAAGCCCAAGTTCAGCCTCAAACCAAATGCATCATCAATGTCCTTTACTATTCCATGAATTTTCTTGATGTATTTATATGAGTCATAAAAGATCACACATATAACAGACTCTCTGACGAGAAAGAGTTCTATATTTTTATAGAGCTCAATATGGGAAGTGCTCACCCTATTTTTTACAATTTAAAAAAAAGTTTAAACCATGCCCTGAAATATTTTTTTTCAATATTAGTTTCAACTTGTAAACAGCTGAATTGCAGTTGTTAATTGATACAAGCAATTGGTAATTGCTCTTTTATCAAACTCTACTTCTGAGAGGGGATTATGTATCATTTTGCTTTTCAAATTTCTGAATAATGATGCTTTTAGCAGAATACATTTAAAGTTTAATGGTCACAATAGGTAACAGATTTCTTTGTTCTAAAATCAGCAAAAATTTCCCGTAATTTCAGCTTGGCTCTTTGACATCAGCAGAATGCTTTTTTGTAACTAGAGTGCCCAAAGAGGTAGGGTGCACTAAAATAATCCCAACAGGAAGTTTTATTGACTTTCTTACAGAGATTCAGGTTGAGGTGAAAACCATACAGATGTATATGAAATGATGGAGAAGTTTTCTTGCTACATACAGTGCTTCACCCACTTATCCGGTAAGTCCTTTACTCAGAACGTACTGAATGCTTGCCACGTGGGGAAACTGGTTGGGAGTGGACCAGGTGGGTCAGAGCAGGTTGTCTGTGTGAATGCGTGGTGAGAAAAAAAGGTGATGTCAACGGGACCACGTTCCCGAGTGTCTTAGCTGAGGTCAATCTCATGAAAAGAGATTTTAGTCTGTTTTTCTGGAGACCCAGTTTATATCGAGTGGGGTTTTTTCTAAGTCTTAAAAGTAGAATGTATACTAAAAGGTTAATTTTAAAATTTGAAATACTATAGCATCAACTCCAAACACAAAGGGTTCATTGTACTATTCTCTCTATTCTAGTACATGTTTTAAATTTTCCATTATATTTTAAAAAGTAGGAACATGTAATCTTCAAGGATATTTAAGGACTTGTTTTTGCACTTGACTTTTTCAATGAGAGAAAATCACAAGGATGCTATGCACAAGAAGATAAATATGACATTCCATTTCCTATTAAAATGAATGCTAACTCCTAGAATTGCCTTGAAGGTATATCAAATCAAGCACTTTTGCTTTTATGTCTGACTGCCAAGCAGAATATATGAGACTCTACAACTTCTTAGCCCCATGATTAACATCATCTTCATGTAGACATGATATGCTTCAGTGGTAATATAATAAGCAAAAAAATAAAAGTAAAGAATAAAAATTTAAAATTCTACATTGCTCTTTTCTGAGTGTAGATTGGTAAAATATGTGCCTTTTAAAATACATATGTAAATGAGGGTAATGATAGAAACAAAAGTCTCAAGGTTAAATAGTACATGCACTCATTAGGGTTTTTCCCTGCAGTGGATGAGTCAGGTTTGCAGTAATATGCAGTCTTACTTTATGATGGACAGGATGCATTTGAGCTGCACTTGTCTGTCTATATGTATTATTATAAAATATCAAAAGTAATTAGTTTAAATATAGAAAGTTGCAGGAGGCCTTCACTCCCAAGCTAACAGCCAAAGCAAGCTGGATAAGCTATAAAATCATAGTTTTAAAGAATCCACCAGAAAAGAGGATGCAAAGGAACCTAAAAAAATTCCAAAAAGCTACAAGCCCTTCATAGGCTTCCTTACCTTAGCAGAGCAGCAGGTGAAAGATAAATCAAATGCAGATGGAGGTAAAGAGAAATAAGCCAACCTTTAATGGATTTTTAATAGCTGCATGTAGTAACAATGAGAGTTCTGAGGAGCCCCAGGCAGAGATGGAGCCTGCATCCACCCACCAAACTTTCTCACAGTCTTTGCCAAGTGCCCAGGTAGTATATAAAAGGAGGTTAGACAGGACTGCTGCGGGAAATACCCTCTTAGACACAGAGTCTCCACGGAATGCAAGAAAACCACTTGTCTAAGATGGGAAGCAGGGCAGGAGAGCTGAGGGAAGAGCCTCCGAGGCATTCAGGCATTTTGACTGCAGAGGACTAAGCCATCTGATGTTCGAAGGTAGGGGGCAGAGCAGTTGGGCAAAGAAAGATCTCCCAAGGCTCAGAAAGCTGGGGCAAAGAACAAGACCTAGAGCGTTCCATGGAATATTCTGGGATAAGGGGAGCGTTCTTTATCTTGTTTTGGATGGTGGTTACATGAGTGTATAAAATTGTCAAAATGCACTGCAATGAACACGTAAGAATTGTACATTTTAAGACATGGCTCAATTTAATAAAAAACAACAACCAAAAATGAATCTAATGTGTAAAACAAATACTAAATGATCCATTCAATCACCTCCTCAGAAGAGACTGATGTTAGATTTTGAAATCTGGTCTCTCCCTGGGAGATATGCAAAGCAGAAGCCAAGAGACTGTGATGCTTATTGCTTACAGTGAGGATGAGCTGTGGTGGGTCACAAAGTTTCATAGGGACCTTGTAAAGAATTCTGTTTACAAGCTGAAGGAATATGCCAAAGGAGAAATCCGTGGGAAAACCAATGAAGGTGAGACAAATTCAAGACACAATGATTCCAAAAATAAATGAAAATAACGGAAAACCTGCCCCTTCTTCTTGAGGGATGGTTATTCTGGAGCTCCAGTCTCTGTCTAAATGCTCTAATGCCCTGATTCTCCTGCTCCATTCCCCTGAAAACACACCCCTGTCATTGAGAAGAAAGCTTGTCTTCATGCTAATGAAGCTGAAGGGAAAAGCCTGCCTTCCTCTGACAGGGTGTTCTCAGGGCCTTGGGAGAGGGGGTCCCACTGGTGCTCAAGGGCCGCATGTCACTTTTGCAGCACCTTCCTGCACAATCTAATCGCGGCTGAAGTGAAAAGGAGATGAAGCGCTGACAACTGCCATGTTCTGGGAGAGGTGCCGAGGAGCAGAGCTAGGGCAAGGCAGCCGGAGGCCTCGGTGGCCTGTCGGAAGCAGGGGCTTCCAATTTCTTCTCTCCACCAGCCTGAGTTACGGAGGCAGCATGGCCTACTGGAGTGATAATAATATCTAAATGGAAAAATAACAGTATCTAGCACTGACTGAGAGATAAGTATGGGCCAGCCACTATGTCAATTTTGACCCTTTGTTCATTTGACCCTTATATAGGGTGGGGCAAAAGTAGGTTTACAGTTGTTTGTATGGGAAATAATACAATAATAAATAATAATACAAGAGTAAGCTGTGTTTCATGAACTCACAACTGTAAAATGACTTTTGCCCCACCCTATAGCGTCCCTGATATAAATGCTATTACCATCACCATTTACACACGGGACACCGCGAAGGCTCCGCAGCCTGTTACATAGTGAAGGCTTGCGTTGGAAACTAGGCAGCCTGACACAAGAACTCAGTATCTGTAGGCCTTTTACACAAAACACTATTATGATTTCCCCAAAGAATGGATATAGGCAAATTTTGGGGTTGGAAAGCCCTAAGTTCAAATCCTGGTTTTGCCATATACTGGTTCTATGGCTAGTTTGGAAGGTCAGTTAACCTTTCTAAGCCTCTGTTTCATTTTTAAAATATAGGTAACATAATAACTCACAAAGTTAATGTGAGGGGTATAGACAATGTCTGGTCCCTAGTAGGTGCTCAAAAAATGGTAATTATTACTGATGATAATAAATCATATTATCTCTTTAATACTCATTTCTAGATCATCTACCTATATATTGTCTGTGTGTATATCTGTGTGTGTCTTTGCAAAGTATACATAAGGAATTGATATGGATAGAAAAGGAGAAATGAAAAATAGAATAAAAGTTCTCCTTCACAATTACATGCATGTATGTATATTTTTCCTAATTTTTCTCTCTGGACATAGCAACTTAACATTTTAATTAAGGTGTGCAATTGATACACACACAGGGCGGGGGGGGGGTGCTGCCCCAGGGGACAGGGCATTGACAGGGACTGGCACAGGATAGACATTTCAGTTTGCAAACAGCGAAGCACCAAAACCGCAAGTCTTGGAACCATCCAGACTTCACTTAAAATCTTTTTTTCTACTAATTTATGGCTATATGATCTAGAGCTAGAAAGGCTTTGTAACTTCTGGATTTTCAGTTTCTCTCATCTATAAAATGGAGATAATTATGCCTGGTAGTTTGTTTTAATGACTGTAATACATAGTAAGGTTTACAGTGAGTATAAGATGTAAAACGCTTTGTCTCTAGCAGATTCTCCACAAATGGCATTAATTATAATCATATTGTGCCTTTATATCCTCTGTCATGGTCACACCAGAAGTCAGCCACAACTGCCATTTGTTTGCCACGAATCTTATAGTGGCATCTTACTGCACTTACGATATACTATTACTGAAGACTTTCCAGGCCTTCCTCAAGACAGGGCTTAAAAATTCATTAATTTTAAAGCTTTACTTGATTAGTTATAAAAAAATAAGTTAAAAACAATCTTTTCTTAAATCAGTGGAAGTGAGTTTCTTATTAACTTTCATTGCAAAATAACATGGTTTTAATTACATATATTTTTTAAAAATTTTATTAGATTTTAATTTAAAATTCTTTAAAGTCTAGAAGAAAGTATTTTTCTCCATATTTTAATCAAATCCTTTCAGGCAACAGGCTGGCTGATTTAAAGATTAAAAACTGAACTCTTTTCTCAATGTGGCTCTTAAAAGATACATACATAGTCTTTCACATACACACATACACTTACATACTCAAATATGCAAGAAATAAAGAAGCAAAGTTTTGGAAAAGTCAGAGAAAATTTTTTAAAAAGTTAGAAGAGGCACAGAATATGAAAACAAGAGAGAAACAGGGTCAAATGAGAGGAGTCCAGGGAAGGCACCGCGCATCACCTTTGACAGGGGTTTGGTGTGTAATGTCTGCAGAAGCCCGGCGTCCTGAGAGAGGGGCACTCTGTGTATACAAGGCATTATGGCTTCTGTCTTTATAAGTGAGAGGCTGATATTCTTTGGTAGGTGTCCACATCCAGTGCAGAAGGAACACAATTGGAAGTCTGAAAGAGCACTTTCCTCTTTTTCTCCAACACAAAAGTCTCCTTCCAGTGTGTGCCCTTCCATGCAAAACAGCTCATTTTTAAAGCGTAGTTCAAGTCTCTTAAAGATCCTTGGTTACTTGCCATGGGAAAGGATATCATGTGACACAGGCACAGTTTTTCCTAAGTGACAGGGGAAGTGTCCTGCTACAATCGCCCTTAGAGAAGCGAACGCAGCACCATTTGGTCGTCAGAATTCTTGGTCGTACTAGCAACAGAGAGAGGACACCGTGCTCTCATTTCTCGACGCCCCCCGCTGTACCTTGTGAAAAAGTATTTCAAGGTGACAATGTATGGGATACAGCAGGTAAATTCCTAGGCAGGTTTAAAAAGCATGTGGTAGAAGTAAATATTCACCTCAGTTTAAAAAAAGAAAAAAACAAGCTAACTAGAGCAAGGAAAGTGTTATTTCTGTCCTTCCACTATCACTGAGTATTAAACATGCGTTCTGTCTAGGATTGCCGAATGGTGGGAGACATCATATTTTGAGTATAATTAGCGCATACAATATGCACATGTGCATGCAGTTTGAAATTCTACCGTAAGTCACTTACCATATCAGTAGAAGACGTAGTTGGCAAATCCTCTGGACCCAATGTGGTATCATTAGATAGTGAGATATTAACTGTAAGACAAAGACAGTTTTCACTATAAAGAAAAGATTAAAATAACCAAAATGCATAACTGGTCATCTAAAAAAGCAGGGCTAGGCATTAAAAGTGTCTTCAATAACAATCTTAGTGCCCAGTGAATTTATCTTTAGTATAACTATATTCACCTTTCACCTAGATAAAATACAGGTAACCAAGAATTTGGACACCTCTGTTGTGCTCTAATCTGACAAGAGACAATGGCAAATATGTAATGGGATGATATTAAAATGTATTTGTTTCAGGTTTTATATTTTGCCTGGTGGAAGAGAGAGCTGTTACTAAGCGAGTAAGCTGATGACTGGCTTTATGTAGAGTCAAATCTCACAAACTGAGTTTTACTAAGTAAGAATTAATCTATGTGAACTTTTAGAAATTTGGACTGAATTGGAAATTACACCTTTGCAAAATGTGTGAAAACAAAAAAATAGTACTAAATAAACAATACACTATATAAATATCATTGAGATGCATATTTAATTTTAAAAATTATTCCATATAATTTGGCATCACTCGTAGGTGTCACTTGCAGAAAAACCAGTTATTTATTTAACCAACCCTCCTCTTGGAAGTATTTCATTTATTTCTATTTATGGGTCCAAAATTATAATGTAATATTTAAAAAGTATTCTATAATTAAAATATTTTTCTTTATCAGATGATCCTTTTCCCTAATATGTGAAACTTTATGCATAAAATAAATTGTTACTCAAAATATCCCTAATTATGGAAATATTGTGAATTAACACTCATCAGGTTTTCATCTTTGAGGATCATATCATTCATTGAACATCCAAATTGCTAATTATTGTTTGGTCCCCAAGCACCACCACCTCCCCAAGTTCCTAGCCTACCCTTTTAGCTTGTCACAGTTTAGATCTCGCCTACATAAACTTTTAAGAAGAACCAATGACTGTTAAAATTAAGAACATAAGACCCACCAGGGAAGAATAGAAGGAAAATGTCTTGTTCACTGCTTTCCCCTAGCATCTGGCCCATTTGGCACTTAACTAACAGAAACTTGAAAATATTTATTATTCAATCTTTAAAAAGAAGGAAATCCTGCCATTTGCAACAACGTGGAGAAACAGGAAGCACATTATGTTAAGTGAAATAAGACAGACAAAGACAAATACTACATAGTATCACTTATAGGTAGAATCTAAAACAAGAGAAAAGAGGTCTAACTCATAAAAATAGAGTGTAACAGTGGTTGCCAGGGACTGGGGGTGGGGAAAATAAGGAGAGGTAGTAAAGGATACAAACTTTCAGCTATAAGACAAATAAGGTCTACATAAAACATGATGACTAAAACTAATATAATGTATCTTATAATTAAAATTTGGTGCGAGTAGAACTTGTGTTCTTACCAAATAAAATGAGTATGTGAAGTTATGGATGTTTTAGCTATTAACTCGATGACAAACCTTTCACAATGGACATGTAAAATGAAATCACCGTGTTGTATACGTCAAAAATATTAAAATTTTGTCAATTGTACATTCAAAAAGCTGGAAAAAATATTTGTATACTCTCAATAAAAGAAGCTAGAAAAGGGGCCATATAATTTGTAATCACAAATCAGTGGGAGCAGATAAAGGCAAACAAAATGAAGTAAGGGAAGAAAAAAAAAGGGGAGAAAATACTCAGCTTGGGTCCTTCTCAGTTTTAGAATCCATCCTCATCTTTGAAGGCTCTGGAATTGTTGAACTTTTAACCTAAAGGTAGCTGCTGCCAGGGCTTTTCTGTTTCCTCCGTAAAACAAGCATGTGTGCAAAACTGTCTGTTTGCTTAAATAGTGCTTTCTGTTTCATTACAGTCACAGAAAGAATCAAAACAGGTTAAAGGATGCTTGGCCTGAACAAGAAAACCAAACATGAATCCATTCCCAAAAGAAAGATCTTAGTAAATTATTATTAACAAAACCTAGATTTTTATCACCATTTTGTCCAAAAAACTTAAAGAGTACATTTCTTACATTATTCCATTTGTTCAGTTAAAAACATACAAGGCCATATAACAGGTATACTTTTATACCCTTTTTATGTTGGGTGGGACTCTGAAACAGGCTATGCCAGGTTTCTTGCTCAGGATTACAGAATCAATCAGCAGCAATGTTGGTACCAAAAACTGCTCAGCATTCTTTCTTTTCCTACCCAGCATTTCTAACTATCAAAATCAAGATTTATGTGGCCACAGAATTCAAGGTGGGAGAGTAGTTGCCAAAGTTAGATGATGTGAATCTCAGCTATGGGCTGAAACGTCCGGCCTGTCTGAGCATTTGCAGGAAAACAGCATATGTGAAATCTCAGGCACTGTTTAGATGGTGTCTGGGAAGCTGCTCTTCCTGAGCTAGATTCTCTTCATGCAATGTTATGAGCTTCTTGTCGCAAGACAGTGAAGGTCTTTTTGCAGCACATTTTTCTGCACAAAGACTAGGAGTAAGGAGTGAGGGGGAAAGTCAGTCAATGCGCCTTTTCTGTGAAATGAATGACAGATAATAAAGACCATGAGGAAACTAAAATAGGGTTCCAATATGAACTTTTAGTAACTGCTCTAAAGTTTTGGATACATTTCAATTCTGCTCATAAAATTCCATGTATCTTTTCAGTTCTCCTCTGAGAGGAAAACTATTAAAGCATACTGGCTCTCAAAATACCAAAAGACCGGTATCAAAAGGACAGTAAAAAGTATAAATGTTATATACTTATTTTAATAAGCAGCTGCTTCAAGAGAAAGACTTCAAAATAAATACATAAATAAGCACTTCCATAAATATATATTGGCAGAATAGGGTAGAGTCCATAAATAAGATTAAAAGTTAATTCATTTAAGCTCACAGAAGAAAAAAATGATTAATTCCAATTGGGAGCTTGGTCTACAAAAGACATTGGTCATTATTTGTATCTAGACACATACAATGCAAATATTTTGGCAATCAACTGCAGAATGGTCTGTTTATATAGAATTTGCAATATCCTTAATTAGGATTCTGGAACGGTCAAATGGAAAAGCCAAAACACACTGCACTCTGTCTTCACTATTTGCTAAGCACACTGGCTTATGAAGCATAGAAGCTCTTTGCCCTAAGAGTCTGGCTTATTTAGAATTAGCCAATTGCTACTGGGACAGTCAGTGTCCCATACTTAGTTTCAGGGAGTTTCCGCAGGTTGATTGTTTTATGTTACTTGGATTTTCACATCTTGATCCTCCTTCCCATGGATCAAATTCTAGCTGATCCTCTGCAACAAGGGAATGAACATGGTCAGTAACAGACACTGAAAAATGTGCCTGTGAGTTTTCAATCTTCAGCTGGCTTCTCCTTTATGTTTAATGAGACATCTAGAGAAAGAACAGGCTGCAGGAGCTGTGCGTGGACACATCCACGTGTCCTTGTTAGTATACCTCCTGCAGAGGGACTATCAGTTACGCTGTTTAAGGTTGTCGTCCTCCTTTACCTTCTAGTAACCTGGCACCAGGAACTACCCCATGACTCCTCTGCTTTAAACATTAGCAGGAACTGTACCATCAGGAACACACACAAACGCTCGCTTGAGACCATGAGGTCAAGGGTGAGCAACCACTGGCTACTGAGGCTGACCTGTCAGCTTTGCCGTGACACTACATCACACTGTAGAGAAAGGAACACTAGGAGAATGGGCTGGAATTCTGGCTCCACCACCTTCAAAAGCACAGGATCCCCAAACTCTCTTGCCACGTAATCTCGAGGAAGTTACCTCACTCCTCTCGATCGCAAGTCCCTTGTTTGTGAAACTGGATTTGAAACCATCAACTCATAACGCTACTGTATGCATTAAATGAAACAATGCAGGTAAAACTGTTAGCACAGTGTCCAGTCCCAGGTAAAAGCTAAATAAATGGTAGCTAAGATTATTACTAGCTTTATGACCTGGAGAAAACAGAACTTTACCCCTGGAAGGAATGTCAGCTAACTCATAAGTTTATGTGATGAGTAAATATGTATATATTATATTATAATATATATTGAAATGTAGTTTATTAAAATCCCCTGGTAAAACGTCTGGTACTTGGATGGTGCTTAATCAATGTTAACCAAATCTGAATCTATACCCTCAACACAGCTTGTGGGATTATAATAATGTGAAACTGACTAACCTGCTCTGATTAGAATACATTTAAGAGCATTTCTTTGTGATATTAAAACTTCAATGTTTTATTCCAGTCTACTAAAGCAACATCTTTAGGAACCTGAGGAACCAGAAAACAGATACAGAATAAAACTGAATAAGGCTCTTGCCTACCTGGCCACGTCAGTTTATTTAAGGGCCCTGGAAATCTTGGGCATACAAGTGCCTCTTGATAAAGCCAAATATTTATACTTTAAATTTCCAGATAAATAAAAGGACAAAATGGCTTTCATAGGGATGACAAGGTGAATGAGGAAAACTTTGAGAGAAGTAGCTCTTAGGGAAATTACCTTCCAGTATTTCAACTTTTAGTCTTAAAACAGGATGAACAGAAATTTTTTTTTCTTATTATTTTTTTTGTTTTCCTAATTTTTTAAACCAAGTCTGATGCTTGAGATTTTCACTATACCTAGGCACGGTCAGGCTATGACCCTCTTCACTCCATGGACACTTTTTGCACACTCACTATATAGTGCGCTGGAAGTTAAAGAGCTGAGCTGCTATCTGGGATTAAGCTGGATATATTTAGCCACTATTTTCACAAAGGCTCATATCCACTCATCCTTAAGAATGTGTAGAGACATTTTTCAAGGATATGTTGTTAAAATCTGTATTTTATACAAACCCAGTGCTAGAGAAATTCCGGGTCTGGTAATTATCCAAATGCATTGCTTCTTTTCTTTTCCTGAAAGCACTATATAGAAACTGCTAAAAGATAGGTTAGGACAGTAAAAGGAAACTAAAACGATGGGTCCTTCAGATATCTCTGGTTTTCTTAAAAGGCCACATTACCATGAATGATGACA